AATCGTTATAAATAATGAACAAAACATGTAAACAAAATCAGACCACACAAGTTGTTGGTTAGGTTCAAATTTTCTTCTCTTTTTTTAATTAATTTAAAGGCCTAAGCTACTAGGGCAATTCTCTTCTCAAATAACTTTTAAGTGGCGTTAACATTATTAGACATTTGCATAAGAGTGTGTATTTTGGGTGGTATTCCACAAAATTTGCAGGCTATTGAGGAAACAGAAAATCTACAGAAATAAATTGAAAATAATATTTATACTATACCGTATGATCGAATAAAAATGGCGTCAGCGATGGTTTTGAAATAAAAATCGCTGTCATTTTATATGTAAAATTTCCAAACCCACTGTACGCCGTTTTTTTTCGATCATACGGTATATTATAGGATCCTATCTCCTACGCGGAGCAAAGGGCTTCAGTGAAAGCTCTCCATCGAGTTCTATTTTTGGCAGTTGTTTTTGCTTCTTTCCATGTTGACCCTATTTGTTGAAGCTCATCCGGTGTGGTCTCCATGTTTGAGCAGGTCCTCCTTGCTTTCTTTTTCCTTGGAGATTCCACTCCAACGCTGATCTTGTTATATTGCCATCAGGTTTTCACAAGGTGTGACCTATCCAACCCCATTTTCTTTTGCAAATTTCAATGCCTACTTCTTGTTGGTTTGTAAGATGAAGCAATATTTATATTAAAACAGCAGTATATGTCACTTTTTCAAATTAATAGCTGCTAATAAGAAGTTTCACTTCAAATATGTGCACATAGTGCACACACTGTTTTTTTATATTTTGTTATTTACTTCTGCATATCTATAAATAATATACAGGGTGAGTCTTAAATAAGTGCAAATATTTTTAGGGGTAGTATACAGGGTGCTACAAATTTGAGGTACGAGCATTGGTAACTCGGTAACCGTAATAGACACGAACATGGTTAAATTGGGGCAAAGTTGCGCTTTGGGATGTTCACCAAGATGCCATTAAAAAAGTTTTAAAAATTTCAAGGATTGCTGAGTGTTTTGGAAAAAACGGATATTTTTGAAAATCAATTTTATTTTTTCCTGTCGATACTTTTAAAAAATCGAAAAACTAATTGCGCATTCTCATAGCCACTTTATTAGGGCTATCTGATAGTGTTTTTAGATTTTCAAATCAGCTGATAATTTGTGAGATACAGAGGCCAACTTAATTTTTTTAAATACGGGCCTGCATTTTTTATTTCAGATTTTGAAAGAACTCGCTCTCCCGAGTACAATGATATGCCACACTTAATTTTTTTTTTGTTTTGGAAATTAGGACTCAATTTATTTAAAGTAATTTCAAGTCCGGCTCTGTTTGTTTTTTAATATTTAATATATTCATCGTTACAATATTGATAAACTTTCAAATTAAACAGTGACGTAGCTTGGATACGGAAAATCAAATGCAATAAAATAAGAAATAAAATGTAATATAAACATAATATAAATAAAATGTAATATAAACAATCAACTCATTTTCCCGGAAGATGGATTTGAAATGGTAGAGCAGTATAATGGCCAGCAAGGTACCTGGACCGTCTGATGACGTCAAGTAATTCGACAGGTCCAAATTTTAACAAAAAAGTAAAATCAACACATCTCAGCAGTTACAATAAAGGGTACAAAATGCATTCGAAATTATAAGATCTATTCAAAAGCTATAAAAAAATTGAACGAAAAATAAATTTGTGCAATAGGGAGGCTGGTAACCCTTTCGAACATGTAGACTATGTAAAGCATTAGAAACTAGTTTGTAGAAGTTAATTTATTCATAATAACTGCAATTAATATTATGCAAATTATTAGATCGTACACTGAGAATTTCAAATTCACAATAAGAAAAGTTAAAAATAATATCTTTAAATTGCTGATCTGGATATTATTTATTTGAATCTTTCAATTGGCTCAATTTTCCTTATTCAATGTTAATTAGCAGTGATCAATATTGTTGCGATGATATAATCAGATTAAAGAATCAGATTAAATAATTTAAAAAACAGAGTCGGACTTGAAATTTTTTTAAATTATAATTAAATAGTTTTGTTGCTGTTAAGGTACCCAAAACAAAAAAAAGTATAAAGTGTGGCATATTATTGTACTCAGGAGACTGAGTTCTTTCAAAATCTGAAATAAAAAATGCAGGTCCGTATTTAAAAAAATTAACTGGGCCTCTGTATCTCACAAATTATCAGCTAATTTGAAAATCTAAAAATACTATCAGATAGCCCTAATAAAGTGGTTATGAGAATGTGCAATTAGTTTTTTGATTTTCTAAAAAATAACGACAGGAAAAAATAAAATTAGTTTTCAAAAAAAAAAGTTTTTTCCAAAAAACTCAACAATCCTTGAAATTTTTAAAACTTTTTTGATGGCATCTTGGTGAACAGCCCAAGATGCAACTTTTCCCAAATTTAACCATCTTCGTATCTATTACGGTTTCCGAGATACCAATGCTCGTACCTCGAATTTGTAGCACCCTGTATTTCGACCCCAGAAACACGAGTATGAAGTTTTCTTCGCGAATTTTTTTTTGTAAATTTGGATTTTTTTTAGTTTTTACTTTAAAAACATTATTTGTAGATAATATAGCAATATAGGTAGCAGATTATATATATAAATTTACAACGAAGAAAATCCAGAAAAGATCCAGTGGTTCTCAAAATTTTGGCACAATATATTTTTTTTTGGATATTTTCAAAGACGATTAATAACTTGGTTATTTTGGATTTCTTTGAAAAACGGTAAAGAGAAAATATGTTTATTTTATCGAGATCTACCAGCCCTGAAAATATTAGCACTTATTATCACCCTGTATACAGGGTTAGTATTAAGAAAAATGATCTTCGCTTATAAAGACCTAGATGCGGAATAGTATTTTTTTTAATTTCTTGAATCTTAATGAACTTCATTAGGTTTTAAACTTCTAAAAGAAAGAAAAAAATACGATTGAAAGCGCCGGAGCTTTTAACAAAATTAAAGCCAGTTTGGCTTAATTAAAATAAGAAAAATAAGAAAGAACACGCTTCTTGACGAAACGGAAAATATAAATAGTGGTTCAAGATGGCGTCGCCCATAAATACTTCGTTGCTGTTTAAAAGTATATATTATTTCTCCGTGTTTATATTTATATACAGTGTGTCAATTTTAAAACTTCCCACCCTTAATATCTTTCTTGCAGTTAAAAATATGAAAAATTGGAAAGACACCTCAATTTTATTTGTAAGGGGGACGCTTTAAATGAATATTTTTAGCCTTTTTCTTTCAACCCCCTAGGAGGGGTAGATGTCACCTTTACAATCTTAAATGGAAATGGGGGTCAAGTGGCATATAGTTTTAAAGGGCGTTTAATTCTCTTTTCAGTGGTATCCTACTTTATTGTTTTTTATCCAGAGGTTTCCGAATAATCGCGTTTCAAAGTTGCAGAAACAATTAAACGCGCCTGCATTGAGATTTTGGATTTCAGGTTAGTTTTTACACAAAAGTTATTGCAATGGATCTCCTGTAGTATAAATGATTAGAAGATTAGGTTACACCACTTACGCCCTGATCTTATAAGTTGTTCAAAATGTTGTCCATTTTCCTGTAAACAATAATAAAGTCTGTTTTCAAACATCTCCCTAACATTTCGGAAAACTTCACCGGGAATTGACTGGAATTCTGCTCTAATTTAAGATCATCAATATCAGTAGATTGTGTTTTGTAAACAATGGAGTTAAGATGTCCCCCAAAAATACAAAAGTCTAAGTGATCTTGAAAGCCATTCAATTGGTCTCCTTCTGCCAATCCATTTACCCGGAAATCTCTCGTTTAACCACTGTCGGCCTGGAAAAAAATAATGAGCTATAGCACCGTCCTGCTGGAATGTTAACAAATCCTCCTGTGAAACTGATTAGAGGCTACCACTCATTCGAATTTGAGAAAGGAAACGTTAATGTTTATGATGTTTTCTGTTTATTAGTATTTCGAATTTCGACCCCCTAGAAAAATGTAATGGCTACGTCCTTGTTACCACCTAACCTTCTAGTCATTTATACTTCAAGGAGATCTACTGCAATAATTTTTGTGTAAACACTAGCCTGAAAACCAAAATCTCAATGCAGGCTTGTTTAATAGTTTCTGCAACTTTGAAACACGATTATTCGGAAATATCTGGACAAAAATCAACAAAGTAGGATGCCACTGCAAAGAGAATTAAATGCCATTTAAAACGATGTGCCACTTGACCCCCATTCCCATTTAAGATATCAAGGGTGACATCTACCCCTCCTAAGGGGTTGAAAGAAAAAGGCCAAAAATTTTAATTTAAAGTGTCCCCCTTATTAATAAAATTGACGTGTTTTTCCGATTTTTCATATTTTTAACTGCAAGAAAGATATTAAAGGTGGGAAGTTTTAAAATTGACACACTGTATATACTATTATCATACAAGCTGCAAATATTTCGCAAAGCATTCAAATTTTATTTACTAGACAAGGCTTTCTACGCTGTAAATGACTTATATTTTGATAATCGAATTTGATCTTGTAAACACTGGTCTAATATTTGCTATTACTATATTTACTAAATGTTTTTGAGTCTTATTTTTATTTTTTTATTCTTTGACATTGTAAACATTTATAAATGTTTATTTTAAACAATAAGACTGACAATGTAATTTGTATACTTGTTTTGTATTCTCTTTTGTTTGTTTACTTTACTTTTGTCTATAAATTGTAATTTTTTTTGACAATAAAGGCAATTATTTTAATAAAACTCCTTTTCTCGTTATTTCTTTAGATTATATTTCCCATTCTGAGTGTCAATCCGAATTACAGGTTCTTATCCCGGGATTTTAAAACGGGATCCCGATCGCAAAAATTGAAAACGCTAATTATTGCCGCACAAAATAATTCGCCGATTTATTCTGGTCGGAAATTTGACTTCCAACCTAACGGACCTAATAAATTATGCTAAAGACTAATTTCGGCCGATGTTTCATTTCAGTCACGTCACACGGACAGCAGGATGGCTGCCACCGGCCGAGGCATGGAAGAGCGGAGATGAGGCGCTGCCCTACGGCTGGGAGAGAGCAGTGGACGAGTCTGGACGATCTTATTATATTAAGTAAGTATTGCATGATATACACGATTATTAAGATGTAGAAGGTAGAATGTTTAGGAGGGGAGTTAATCACCTCGACCTTATAGATCTATTGTGTGTTCCCCTTTCTTGAGTTATAACGAGTTATAACTCATCATGCAGTCTCAGGGCTTTAAGAAAAGCCAGTATCTGAGACGGCTCCACAGAGGCCACCTCTCCATCCTCGACATCAGACGTACCAAGGTTCATGGCACGAATGGTCGTCGTCTCGGCGCACTCAGTGATAAGGTGTTCTGGTGTTTCCCCATTTTTCCCACAAAATCTGCATTCGCCGTTGTTTCTCAGTTTCAGCCTACTGAGGTGTTCGTTGAGGAGACAGTGTCCTGTTAGAAACCCCGTGACAATCCGAAGATTGTTTTTACTTAAATCAAGGAAAACCTTTGATTTTTCTCGGTTATAAGTTCTAAGGAACTTTTTCGAGTGTCTTAGACCGTTCCTTAGAACCTTCCAACCTGAGTTCCCGTTTGGAAAACAGAACGGTTCTGGTCCAGTTAGTGGAGTGTTCGCTCCTTTTCTAGCTAGATCATTTGCTTTTTCATTGCCTTCTATTCCTTGGTGAGCAGGCACCCAGAGTAGGAGGACTTTATTTTCTTTGCCTAATTTGTTGAGCTTCTCCAGACATTCTTTGACCAACTTCGAATTGATGGTTACTGAGTTGATCGCGTTATGTGCTGCTTGACTATCGGATAGGATGGCAATTTCCTGTTTGTTTTCGATAGTTCCTATCTAAGATAAATTGTACGCATCTTTCGATAGCGCAAATTTCTGCCTGAAGAATACTGGGGTAGGTGCCCACTGGTTCGGAGTATTCAGTTTTCGGCCCAAATACTCCTATCCCTGTCCCTGCTTTGGTTTTGGAAGCATCCGTATACCACATGATGGTATGGTCTTTTATATGCTGAGAAAGCGCCTCTTTCTTCCAATTCTTTTTATTACTCAATACTACAGTGAGGTGTTTCTCAAAGTTGTAAATTCTTGGTATGTCATCCACTGGGAGCTGGAGAAGTGGAATTTTCTTTTTGAGGGTGTTCCAAGCCCCTGACCTGAAAATTCTCCCAGTACTGTTTCCGTCAGTAACCATTCTAATCATTGTCGCATTGGCATAACTACCGACGACAATGTGCAGTGGTGTTAGGTCTAGAATGACCTCCATTGCTGCTGTTGGACATGTTCTCATGGCACCTGTGATGCAGATACATGCCAGTCTCTGTACTTTGCACAGGTTTTGCCTTGCTGTACGTTGCTCTAGTTTTGTATTAGAATTTTTTTTAGAATTTAGAATGAGTGGGAGGGGGGTTAATCACTTCGACCTTACAGATCCATTGTGTCCCCCTTTCTTGAATCATAACTCATCATACAGTCCCAGGGCTTTGACAAAAGCCAGTATCTGGGACGGTTTTATAGAGGGTAGTTCTCCATCTCCAATATCAGTCGTACCAAAATTCATGGCACGAATGGTTGTCGTCTCGGCGCACTCAGTGATGAGGTGTACTGGTGTTTCACCATCTTCCCCACAGAATCTGCATTCGCCGTTTCTTCTTAGTTTCAATCTACTGAGGTGTTCATTGAGGAGACAGTGTCCTGTTAAAAACCCCGTGACAATCCGAAGATTGTTCTTACTCAGACCCAGGAAGATCTGTGATTTTTCTTGATCATAAGCCCTCAGAAACTTCTTCGAGTTAGTTTTGTATACCAAGCAACTGCTCCATAAGTAATCATGGGTCTTACTATCATGGTATACATCCAGCGCAAAATGATAGGGGCGCAGCCCCACCTATTTCCCGCCAGTCTTCTGCATATCATGAGAGCCTTTGTGGCTTTGCTGGTAATGTTCTTAATATGCCTGTTCCAGAGAAGTTTACTATCCAGGGTTATTCCCAGATATTTCACTTCCTGTGATGGCAGTATTTCCTTTCCATCTAGATGGATTCTTTTCAAGTTTTTCAAACTTCGCTTTCTGGTGAATGGCACTACTGCGGCTTTATCTGAGTTAATACTCAGCCCGACAGTCCTGCACCATCTCTCAGCGATGCGGAATCCTCTTTGGATAATATCACACAGGGTGCCTTCATGTTTCCCCCGTGCAATGATGTCATCTGCGTACCCTATGCAGTTCCCGCTAGAGTTAATTCTTCCAGTAGTTCATCCACTACCAAGCTCCACAGTAGGGGGGAGGTCACTCCACCTTGTGGAGTTCCTTGCGTTGTTTTAACAACTACAGTTTTGGTACCTATCTCAACCTCTGCTGTTCGTGTTGAGAGCATTTCCCAAAACCAGCGAATTATCGTACTGTTCACCCCTCTTGTTTCAAGAGATCGCTTGACCACCTTGTGAGGTATATTGTCAAACGCCCCTGCAATGTCCAAGAAGGCACAAAGTCCTGTTTCCTTGCTATCCAGGCTTGCCTGTATTAGCTCAGTTAACTGGTTTATTAAGATATAATAATAATAAAATATGTCTATTTCCCAAATATTTTTATATTTAAATAATTAATCCTGCAAAATAAATTCTATATAAATAAAGAAATAAACTGAAGAACACGAAAAGTCCGTAAACTTGTTCGAAGTATCCTATGTAATAAACCATAAATAGGTAAAAACTAATACTAAATACACAATATCGTAAATAAATCGTAAGCCCATTGCCATTTGAGAGATTTGACTCTGTGCATGATATCTGTTATCTGGGTCTTTTGTCGTATCCACTCTGTTCTTTTACGGTCTTATCTTGGTTATTCTCAGTATATTTCGTTCCACTCAACGTTATGCGACCTGCAAATTCCTTATGATGTCCGTTTTAAATGTCCAGGTTTCGTATGCATAGGTCATGACTGGTAATACACATTGGTCGAATGCTTTCTTCTTTAGATAGAGTAACATTCTAGATCAGGGGCGGATACACGAATTTATTTTAGGGGGGGGGGGCCAAAATAAAAAGTAATGTAGAATATGCTTTTTAGGGCGCCATTTTTAACCAAAAAGACCGATATTTAACACAATTTACAGATTTTAGGGGTGGCCCGGGCCCCAGGGCCCCCCCCCCTTTGTATCCGCCACTGTTCTAGATGTGAATATGATTGAGTTTCTTCCATAAGTACTCCATCCTAACTTCATTTTTCTGCTGATTTCTGGTAGTAGAAATCCCGAGGTGTGTAATAGTTGCCCCAAAAATATACAGGGTGAGTTTTTTCGATGTTTTCTATGGGTATCTCGGAAACCACTGGAGATAGAGAGTCGATTAAATGGGGAAAGAATTGCAGTTCTGTGGGGTCATAAATATGCGCCTATCAGATTTTTGAAAAAGTTCATGGCTTACTAGATTTCGAAAAAAAAACAAAAGTTCATGGCTTACTAGATATTTCGAAAAAAAAAACAAATATCGCCTATTTTAAAAATTGTCCCTAATTCCATTATAATCTATTTTAGACAAAAAGTTTTTAGATAAAAGTTGTAGATAATAACCTCCTTAATGAGATTGTGTTCTCCGTTTTTTTCTAAAGCCTGTTATGCATATGACCCAAACATATGTTTTTTTAAATGGAAACCATTGTTGGCCATGACTTCATAAAAAGCGCCATTTTTTAAGCTTTCCAGCAATGTAAGCTATAATATGTTTTTTTCGAAAAATTACTGAGTTATAGCCAATTAATATGTTTCTTGACTAATGTCACTTAGTTGGCATAGTATTCTTATTCTGTTACGATTTATAACTTATAAAAAGACAGAATATTTTCATTATACAAACTAAAACTTAAAAATCATCACTACATATACTTTAAGTTATTTTAGAAAATCCGCCATTGTTTTGAGTACATAAATGCATCTTTTTAAAACTGAATTCCCTACTAGATTTTCTCACAGAACGACCGGTCGACTTCATTAAACTTCTCTCGTACAGCCTCTTCGGGTGCTTCTCTTAATTCATAAGTTCTTTTGTAAACCTTGTTGTTAACCATACCGCATAAAAAATCTAAAATGGATAGGTCAGGTGATCGAGGAAGCCAATGCAATTGGTCCACCTCTTCCTATCCCTGAATTTGCATAATTATGACATAAATAATTTTTAAAATTTCTTCCATTATGGGGGGAGTGTCATAATAAAAGTTATGTTGGAACCACGGCATTGATGTCCGAGTCTCTAAATTTAACATGTCTTGAAAACCGTTCTTTGAAAAGCGTAAGTAACGTTCACCGGTCAACGTATCCTTGAAAATGTATGGCCAAGAAATGTTGAACCAACCACGCTTATCTTCATTTGAAAAAATCATATTTACAATTTTTGTTTATTTTAATTTACAAAGTTTGGATGTGACAGTTTGATATTTCGGAGAGCAACGACAATTGAACTTGTTTCCATGGCTAACTAAGTGAAATTGTTTAAAAATAATACGAATTGGTTATAACTCAGTGATTTTACGAAAAAAAACAACATATTATAGCTTATATCACTGAAAAGCTTAAAAATAGCGCTTTTTATGAAGTCATGGCCAACTATGGTTTCCATTAAAAAAAAACATATGTTTGTGTCATTTGCCAAAAATGACAGGCTTTAGAAAAAACGGAGAACACAATCTCATTAAGGATGCGATTATCTACAACTTTTATCTGAAAACTTTTTGTCTATAAAATGGATTATAATGAAATCAGGGACAATTTTTAAAATAGCCGAATTTTTTTTTCGAAATATCTAGTAAGCCACGAACTCCTTTAAAAATTTGAAAGGTGTTTTAAAGGTGTATGGGTAATAAATATGCAAAATTGCACAAAACTGCAATTCTTTCTCCATTTAACCGACTCTCTATCTTCACTAGTTTCCGAGATACCCATAGAGAACATCGTAGAAAACTCACCCTGTATATTCTTCTACTATTTCCAGTATTGTGATATTTATTAGAATGTGTTGCGTGGTTTTGCATACAATATAGTATATTTTTTTCGCTTAATTTATGAAATTATATACATATT